TCCATGCCTTTCCGACATTCCGGTAATACTCTCTCCTCTGTATAAACCTGTCTAAATCTTTCATCACCTTCTCCTTAACATCTGTATCCATTGCCAGCGTGGCAAAGGTCGACGGATGATCTAGATTCACCGGCGCCCACATTGTTGGAGAGTTTGAATGCATCATCATCGGATCGACAGTGAATAGCTTCACGCTTTTCACTTCTTGTTTCATCGTTTTCGAATCATTAAGTATAAACGGAAGGTATTCGTTCAACGCGAGATCCTTGTGTTTCCGATGAAATGTGAGTTCTAGCATTCGAATATCGGATCGGGAAGTTCCGATCATACCATCGTTAGGATAATATTCTCTCGTCGGCGCCTTATTAGACAGCAAACACCACTTGAACTTGACTCCATTGTAAACATCGGTAACCTCTTCGTTGGTTTCCATGGCAACGGTGATGTTTTTCTCGCTGGTGTGTTTGGTGATCTTCATACGGTGGATCTGGGGAGAAATCCGGGCGGCGAGGTAAAGCTCTGTGGCGATGTAAATTTCGTTTTCTTGAAACCCCTCGAATTCGTAGATAACCATGGTTAACTGTGTGGAGAACTTGTTGATGAAACTTCGGAAGCCAAAATAGAGGTAATCTTGGAATTCAGAAGGCAAGTAATCGCGGCTGACGCTGCGAACCACCATTGCCGCTGCGGCGACGGAACCGATGGTGGAAACGACTGTTTTGGCCATGGCGATTTTGGATTCGGTTGAAGATGACATTGTGGAAATGAAGGGTTAGGATTTAGGGGAGTTTGTAAGTAGATGTAGATCAAGGGTTGGAGTTTATTGTTTGCATGATCAGGGGGTTTTATAGTGTGGGTGCGTTGACTTGGTTTAGTTGGAACATTGACGGAGTTTTTTAATCTTTTTATTAATTATTCCTAGAAACTACAAATAGGCTTGCCGTGAACCCCAATCAAATGTTTAAAAAATCTGCAACAGCCTAACAGGTTGCAAATATATATCTATATATATATTATATATATATATATCTTATAATATATATATATATATATATTATATATATATATATATATATATATAATGTTTTTCTTTAATAAATTCTTGAATTATTGGATTAAATTAAAACAAGTGAACCTTAACAAATACAAGTAAGTTGTAAGATTTGAGCATCTTTCATCCAAATTAATTGATATTTTTGGGGTATTAGCATTATTATACTTTCAGGCAATGTTGAGAATGATCAGATATTGGGAATTTATAAATAAATATTTTGGCAAGTAATCTTATTTATTGGACATGGAGTTTTGTTGATACGATGATTACTTACATTTTAGATGCATTAATTATGAATTCACTTTATTAGAGTTAATAGTTGATGCTACTAACATAAGATGACTATTAACATCTTTTGTCAATGGTAAGATATCAGACAAATAGACAATTGAAGGAACCTCGTTAAATCAATGTTAATGAGCCTTAAACCAATCCGATTACATTAAGTACAGGTAATACCGTAATTGCAATGAAAAGAAAAAAAATTAAATAGTTATGGGTGAAATGTGGCAAAAAAGAAACATGAAGTACTTGTATGGAGATTGAGTACCTATAATTGGAATTTCCAGTTTATTGACTTAACGTTAGTCGTGATGTTAAGTGAAATACCACTCACACCATTTTATAGAACTAAACTTAGCTTTATGCTTAACCTATTTGAAAGAAGTAAGTTGAACCTCATCCTAAGTTTAATTCTCTAAAGCGAACTATTCTTTCGCACTTTATCTAATGTATGAATGTAATGGATAGAACTAAATATTCGTATGTAACATACATTTAAAACCACAATAATTACCCAATAAATGATTTAACAACATTAATTTGCAGAATCATTCCAATCAGACATCCGTTAGAAAATGTGTTCTAAATTACGAATAATTATCCTCATTCTAATAAATGAATAGTTTTAATCTCCTTTTGCCAAGTGTCACTCTAAGGTGCTGTTTGTTTTTTTGAAGCAAAAATTCATAAAATCTGCGAACCACCTCTGCAACCCTCTGTAGTAGAAGAGGTGGACCGAACGGCTGCAGACTGTAATAAGAAGTGTGTTTGTTTTTTTAACATCTGCATGCTGCTGCAGATATTAAAAAATTAAAACAAACTGATTTTATAATCTGAAAATAGTTTTTTAATATCGAAAGTTTAATAATGTATGACATTTCGGCATAAATTTATGATATTTCAGCAAAAAATAATGATAATTAAAAAAAAATAAAGTTATTTTAGCATAAAATAATGATATTTCATCAACAAATTATTATTATTCAATATATAAAAAAAAACAATTTCAAAAAGAAAAAAAACAATTTCAAAAAGAAAAAAAAACGAAATAAAATGTGAAATAAAATTTCAGCAGTATATAATCAATATTTTAGCGGAAAAAAAAGAAGAAGAGGTTGGAAGAGGTAGGAAGAGACAGAACAAGTGTTGCGCCAAGAAGAACACGAACAGAGGTTTTTAAGTCCGAAGACTTCTGAAAAACAAACAGCTGCGAGATGAAAAGTGTTGCGCGTGTGCTGCGCCGCGCAGCAATAAGAGGTCTGAAGAGATTTTTTCCAAAAAACAAACAACACCTAATACAACTTCTCATTAATATTATGTCATGTGTCATGTAGATATATTAGGCAATTCATTTCAAAATTCAAATTTACATTTTCTAATTATATCTTAAATTTGAAGTTATAATAACTTTAAAATTTTGATATATCTCTTAATTAACAATTTATTTAAAAGATTTATTTAAAATAATTTATTAATAATTATAAGTTTTTATTATGAAAGTTTAATAATTTTATAACCCGTGGTTCCCACGGGTTATAAACTAGTTACTAATAAGAGAAATTAAATATTCTCCTACTTTTCTTCCTAATTAACTCCTACCCATTTGAAATGATGACAAATGTCCTAAAATATGGGTTTTATCTAAATATGACACTTGTCACAGCTTCATGTGGATAGGAAGATAAATATGAAGAAAATGTAGAGAATATTTAATTTCTCTTACTAATATCAAATAACTCCAGTAATATTAAAAAATAAAATAAAATAAAATAACTCCCGTGATATAAAATAATGTAACAAAAATAAAGTGTTTTAAACTTCTAATCATTAATTATTAGACATAACTCCTCTAAATTATCAACAAATGCTTTAGTCATCCGTCACCAAGCCCAAGCCTTACCAAAAAATACAAATTTAACTTAAAATTGTTGGGCTCATAATGGACTCACTTAAGAACGAAATCACTAATCCTAATTCACGCTCATTTATGTAACAACCCATGTCATATATGCAAAGGAATTAGGACAGTGATTCATACATATACTTTTTTTTCATTAAAAATAATTTATGCTTTAGAAAGTTATATAACAAAATTTAAAACATAAATTATTATTATGTAATGCTCCTAAAACATATATCCATACAAAGCTAAATACACATCGTATTAGATGTAGAATTCAAAAGGTTTTCCTTGAATTATAGATCTATTTAATGTCATTAACTGATGAAACTACCTCTATCATGACATTATTTGATTTAGGGTTTCACTTTCCACTCAATAAGTATTGATATTTATTGTTAATCCATGCGAACTAGATTTGGTATTAATATTTTGATATGCAAGTAAAATCATCAAGGGGGGTTTAAGGATCACCGCAGGCCCAATAAGGGGTGACAATTGGTTGATAGTCCAAGCCACAAATATATCTAGGGCCCATATTTAAATACCAAAACTATATATATATATATATATATATATATATATATATATATATATATATATATATATATATACACATATATACCCGTCGGCTACTAAGCCATCAAAGATATTCCCTTACTGCTCAAAATACCTAATTATGCCAAAGACCAAACGAACTACACCATGAGGATCTCTACGACATAACTACCGACCCGACACATAAGTGAAATCCATGAGGGTCCATGACACGTCGTGACACCATCCAACCATTGTAATGAGAAGCTCAAGGTTCCTCACCGTTGTTGCCATCACCCAATCTCAGCCATGAAGATTCCCGATCAGTGCCCGATGGGCCTACAGACATACGACCATCATCCCACCGACCTGCAGGAATCTAATCAACGCCCCACTTAACACTTACTAAAACCCCATGAGCCATATCATACTACAATATGCAACACTTCCACATCCATCAACCAACCTAGTGCATGCGACGACTACCTCACAGTCTTACAATCACTTTCACAACTGCCATGGGCCCAGTCCATGGTCTTGCCAACCACCTACAAGAATACCTAATCAAAGATCAATATGAGTCGAACCCCCAACCTACTGAACCCTATCAGGTGTTTGGGTCATACTTCGAACCCCAGAGCCTTCATCAGACAAGAACAGGAAGAGAGGTCCTAACACAACCCTCATCTTATAACACCCATAAAGTCACGAGAAATTTAAACTTTTAAAACCAACCCAAATTCATAAATTGTTTACAATCATAGTTTTCAAACATCATAGTCTCCCAAAATCATAAGTCATAAACAAGAGGATGTGTACGGTCACGCCTTTGCCTTCCCGCGGTCATCCGAAGTACCTGAAACATAACCCAAAACTGTATGCCAACATTTAGTGAGTTCCCCCAAAGTACCAACACATAATCAGATAACATATACAATAACAGTATGTCGGGTCCAATCAACCATCGGGTTGGAATACCCGAGGCCCAATTAACCATCAGGTTGGAATGCCAATACACAATGGGTCCTATCATCCTCGGGATGGAATACCCTGGGGCCCAATCAACCATCGGGTTGGAATTCCCCCGGCCTATTGGCTTACGCACAAAGCAGTAAAGCCTCAACCACCAACCAAATATGTGCACTTATAACAGATAAAGATATAATCAGTTAACATGCAATCAGGCAGATCTACAGATCACTAAGCACAGGATCATCCTGTATTCTAGGGTACCGATCTAACAAATCACTACAACATGATAACATACTATCACATAACATGATATCTAATCCAAAGGGTCGACCTTGGTGTCTTCGACCCGCAAGTACAGTGAGGGGAAAACTCACCTCACATACTGGACAAAAGCTGATGAGGTCTCGACTCCGAATCTCAGCTCTAACCGTCACCTATTCCAACAAAATGACCAATCTCAATCAAAATCCCAAAATACCCAAATACCTTTAAGTCAGACTTGGTCAAAGTCAAAGTGAAACTGGTCAAATCAACTGAGTCAACCCATCCGAGTCAACACAGAGAGAGTACGCGGGGCGTACTCCCTATGTACGCTGGGCGTACTCGCATGTTGACCACCATCGGGGTGGTTAACCTCGTACGCAGGGTGTACTCCAGGTACGCAGGGCGTACTCCCAGATACCCAAAATCCACATTAAGAGCTTAATGGATTAAGCTCTCACGTCCAACTTTCAGATCCATGGCTAAAATACCCTCAAAAGTCATAAAGTTTCCAACTTTATGAATTTTCTTGTCCATTAAGTGCTTAAATCAACTTCTTAATCCCTTAAGACCTTCTAAATGATGCATGGAGCAAAACCAACCATTTGGAACCCATTTTTATGACTCAAGACCAATCCAAAGGTCCGAAAGGACAACTTAAAGGGTCAAGAACATGTTATGTTCATGAATCTCCACATTTGGGACAAAAAGGACCACAAAATCATTCCAACACAAGATCCAAGTGAAGCAT